GTGTGGTAGTTCGTCGGGCCTTTCGGGTTTTGTGCCTCTGCTCAGTATTGCGAGGCTCACACGGCCGCAATCGGTCTGCGACACTCGGCGTGGGTTTGTCGGCGGTCTACGACATTCCGGTGTGGCTTCCGACTTTCGGGGGCCTTCAGAAGGAATGGTGGGCGATCGCGAAGTTGCCGGACGACGTCATGGGGTCGCTCAAGCAGTACCAGGCGGTCGCTCGTGGCCCCGTGCCGCCGCCTACGGCCCCGCCGTTCGACGGTGCCGGCCGCGACTACGGCCACGGCGTTTTCGATCCCAATGGCTTGGAGGGGTCGATGCCGTCGGTCGGGAATGCGGTCCTCGATGCCGCCCCTCAGCTTAACTCAGGTGTGTCTCTGGGTTTGTGCGTTTTTTGGAGTTAGCAAGTTAGGTTCGTTTGGACGTTTGGAAAGTGGCACCGTCGGTCCTCATCGAACTGGACCAGCTCCAAATCGACGAGCGTTGCATGCGGGTCACTCGGATGCATCAGTCAGTGTCGCTCGTCGCTCGGATGCACATATTTTAATCTTTCACACTCAACTAAGTCGGTCGCGAACCTGGCCGGCCACAGTGACGACGGGGCGAAGTTCGTGCGGGAGCTCTTCCAGGTCATTCAGCGAAACTTGGTTGCAACAGTCATGTGGGGGATGCTTTTTGTGGTCGTTCGTAGGCGGTTCGGAAACTGAGGCGAGAACTCCGACCGCTCGCAGTACGACAACCCGGCGGCCGCCATCACGTCGGCCGTTCGTAAGGAGCTGGACCGCCTTCGCCCAAACATTCCAGGACTGCCGGGTCGCTCGGGCTTTTGTTAGTGGGTCGCTCGTTCTGGTTGTCTAACTTATCCAGCAATTCAGCTTAGCAAGCCCAGGCAGCAGCGGCGACCGCCCTCCGGCTAACCTCGGGCCACATGCTCGGGCGGTCAATCGAGGGCCTCCTCCTGGTCCGCCGCCCCGAGATTTCGCGGACGATCGCCGTGACCTGAAGGCATTCAAGTAAGTAAGGTTCAGGGGTCACGACTGATAAGATGATTGTTTCTAAAGTGATGAGTCGAGGTGCCCCGGAGCCCCGGCCTTTCTACGACGATCGTCAGTTCTACGACGATCGTCGTGGCTATGCTCCGGACGATCGTCGCTATGATCCTCGGGACGATCGCCGCTATGGCCCTCCTCCGGACGATCGCCGTGACGATCGTTACGACGATCGCGATCGTCGTCCCTATGGCCCACCGGACGATCGCCGTGACGATCGTTGGGCGAACTATCGCCCCCCGGGCCGCCGCCACTACGAGGATGACGAGCGGCTCTCGGACCCGGGGCACCCCAGTCGTCCGGCGCCTCACTGGCTGGACCGTCGTGGCGAGCCCGTGCCTTGCTTGCAACTTTAGAGTTTTGGTCGTTCGGTTGTGTGTGTGTGTGTGTGTGTGTGTGTGCCTTCGCTGGTGCTTGGAATCCAGGATCCCCGCCGTCGCCGATACGACGACTATCGCTAGGTCGTTCGGCGTGGGCGATCGTGGTGACTTGTCTCTTGCAGCTGTTGGATTGCTTGTGGTATGGTAAGAGCGGCGAGTTAATCAATTAATAGTCTGCTGTGACTGACCCGACTCAGGCACCAGGGCCACATGATCGTTGCTCCACCATTTTGCCACAGCGGCCGTTCGTGGAGCCAAATTTTGGCGACAACCGGGCACGTGCCCGTGCCATGCAAAGCAGCCGAAAAAGGAGCTGGCCGTACTTGTGCAATGGTCTAGTCTTTCGTGCTTTGCGAGTGTGTGCTGCGATTTCCTTTTGCGTGGCAGGTGCTGGGCCGTTCGATGTCGAAGCAGGCCGGTTCTGGAGAAGCGGCTGGGTCCTTGGGTCTTTCGGAGTTCAGTGGTTTCCAGCAGTTCTGGTTTAGGTCGTTCGCCGAAACTCAGATTGCGACTTTCGTGCCGTGCCCGAGTGCTTTGTGCAGCTGAGCTGGTGGTAGCTTTAATTAATTTAAATAATATAGAGCCTAGAATAGAGTCTAAGTTTAATTTATAATTGGAATATATGCAATAATAGTAAGGAAGCCTAAGCCTAAGCTTGGGACCCAAGCTCCAAAACCCCATTACTAAACAATTTAACAATCAACTCGTGCATCCGCCCCTTTCTACCTGGGCCCCAACTCACATAACAAACTGCAATCCTGAACCTTGGCTGCAAAATTCGCAAAAGCACATCGGCAACTATTAGGGCAACACATAGAGGTATTGTGTATCGTCTTTATATGTAGTACAGAGCCATAAGACATTGCAATATATTTCAACATATTTTGGTTCATCATAGTAGTCACCGCAATAGCCCATGCAACAGTGAGTAGCCTCCCACACACCAAAATCCCAAAATAAAATCACTTTGTAGCCCCACCCTCATACTAAAACAATGGTGCAATTAATCCACCCTTAGGCTTGAAACAGGTTTGCACCAGTATTTTGATTTTACCCTGTATCGCCTCAACCGTATAGCTTTGGAAGGTGGGACGATCGTGCGGGGCGATTCCCGTCGTTGAGGTCGCTCGCAAGGCCGGTTTTGGTCGGTTGGTTTTTGACTTTGAAGCAGAGCCCCAAATCTCCGGTGTGGCAGTGCTGTAGCACAAATTCAAAGTCCCAAGGCTCCCAGCCCCAGGGTCGTTCGGATTCATTGATTAATCAAGGATAGACGTTGCATCAAACCCCGTGTGAAAGGAATCCTTCAGATGTCAATGTCACTGCTGTGCCAGTGATCGATGTGCCTGCGAAAGTGTGCATTTCCATTGTAAGGGCTCGTGCTCAGGATCGCATAGTTAGGCTTGCTTGGCAAAGTCCATCCTCTTAGGGTCGTTCGTGGCCCTTCGTCGCTAGCATGGCCAGGGCGAGCATGGGCAAAAAGAGGGCGGTTGCCGTTCGCAAGCAGCAGGAGAAGGCGGCCGTCCGGAGGAGGCAGAAGGAAGAGAAGCTCGCCAAGCGTAACGAGAAGACCTTCGCCAAGAGCTTGGCCAACTTCCACGAGTCGTCGTTCGAGCGAGCCAGGGCGTTCGTCGACAGCCAGCTCGACGATAACCCGGCTTGGATCCACCCTCTGGCGGATCTAATCCGGGATGGCGCCCTCCAAGCCTTGCTGAAGTCTCCCGGGGCGACCGGCGATCAGTCAGGCAGATCGGCGGGTCCAGAGAAATGGGTCGGGAAGGCCAAGTCGTTCGGCGAGTTGCCCGACGAAGTCAAGGTCTTCATGCTCGAGGCCATCGGCGTGCGAATGTCCGAGACGGGGGTTCCGGCGGACGTTCTGAACAGCTTCTTCTCGATTCAGTTCTTCGTCCACGAGGACGTCCCATTGCCTGCAGGGTCTAGGTCGTTCGAGGTCTTGGAGAAGCTGGCCAAGGAGCGGTTCGCTGCCTTGAACAACCACAAGGTGGCCCCGTCCGTCGACAAGGACTTCGACGGCAACTGCTGGGCACTCGACGACGGTTCCGTGACTTTCGCCCTGACCGGCGACGTTCAGAAGCTCCCTGCCCTCTCGGAGAAGGACGTTTGGGTTTTGGACCATCAGGACTGCCCAAGCGGCCGAGTCTACTCGCAGGCCAACCCAGCAGTGGCGTTCGAGTGCCGGACGTTGTTCCCGGAGGTTCGGGAGATTGATCCGAAAGCCAAGTGGGCGTTGAAGAAGGCCAAGAAGGACTGAGCCGGTCTCACGGGGTAGGCCTTTGTCGTTCGAAACAATGGCCCTTTTCGGGTGGGGCTCCTTGCAGGATTTGAGTCAAGGACATGGGGTATGGCAGATGGAAGAAGAAAGAGCTGCGTGCATTGGGGTCGTGTGTGCGTTTCAGCTTTTTGGTGGTGCGTTTCAGGTGTTTTTCAGCTCTTTCCCAGGGTTTTGGTAGTGTGCTGAACAATAGGGCCCAAGTTGGACATTTCGGGGCGTTAAGGGTTCCTCTGTTAGGGACACGAACCCTTTAGGGTGTTGTATGTGCGTTTCAGCTTTTTTGAGGTGCGTTTCAGGTGCGTTTCAGCTTTTTCCTAGGGTTTTTGCTGCGTACTGAATAATAAGGCCAAGGTTGGACACTTCGGGGCGTTAAGGGTTCCTCTGTTAGGGACACGAACCCTTTAAGGTGCTGTATGTGCGTTTCAGCTTTTTTGAGGTGCGTTTCAGGTGCGTTTCAGCTTTTTCCCAAGGTTTTTGCTGGGTTTTAAACAAGGGGTCGGAAACTACTGCGGACAGGCTCTGGCCACAGCGACTGCGGCCCGGTGCTCGGCTCCCCGTGGCTCGCTGCTCCTTCAGGCTGCTGCTTTGTGTTTCGGCAGTGTTGACTTTGTCTGTTGGTTCCGAAGACAGCCCGTGCTCAAGGCTAAGGGGTTGTCAGTCGAGGCAGAGTCGTGCACAGTTGCGAAGTGCGAGAAAGCCAGAACATCCCCAGGACTTGTGGCCAGAGTGTAAGAACCACAGGCAGTGCAGCGGGCAGACCACATTTCAGGTGTAAAGTTTGTAGAGCTTTAGGCCGTTCTCCATCCATCATGGCGGCGGCCCAACAGGCAAGGGCCGTTGGAGCAAGCGACGTTCGAGAAGCACCGGCGGATGGAGACAGGGACGTGCGAGCTGTGGTTCTCCCCTGCGGCAAGAAGGGGTCCTTCAAGGGCGAGGTGTACCAGTTTCGCCGGCCCATCGCGGCGGCGGATGGCCGCTCGAATCCAGGAGTGTTTTTCTGGATCTTCCGGTGGATCCTTGACTTTTTGGGCGGCACTCAGAGTCACAACTTCGGCGGCCGCAGTCGCGACGTCATCGCCTCCCGTACGTCGTCCGTTCTGGCCGACGGCCTGTCGTCCTCCGAGGACGAGGCGATGGTGGATGGCGAAGAGGCCGAGGACATTCTGCCTTCTGCCGAACAGCACATGACTGCATCATCCATGATGACTCGCATCCAGCAGGTCCAGGATCAGAACAAGGCGTCAAAGAGGACCTCGCAGGACGAGTTGAAGGGCGAGGTCAAGGGCGAGGTCAAAGGCGAAGTGAAGGAAGAGGGCCAAGCCGACGAGGTCGACGAGGACGGTCCTCTCCAGAGAGGTGACTTCAGCCTCTCGTCGTTCGCTTGTCTTTGTTGGCTGGCCCAGCTGATGTCCAAGGGCACCCGGGCGAATGCGAAGTGGAACTTGGATTCAGCCGAGATCCAGGCCAGGGCAGAGGCCCTTCTCTGTGGCATGCGGGACTGTTTCTGGCAGGACGTTCGGAAAGGCCACTTCGTCGTGGTCGAGGGCGACTTGTCGGTCGAGACCCTCGTCACCGCGAAGGTGGGTCAGATGGCAGCAAAAATTTTTGCCAAGCGAAAGACCGTGCCAGTCGTAGAGGCTTTGAAGATCTTACAACAGGATGCCGGTCGAAGGAGCCTCTCTGGCGACCGTCGGCGTGTGGCCGAGAAGATCTTCAGTCGCTTGGTCCGGGCACTCGCAGATGCCATCGACGACTCTGCAGGAAAGACAGTCTGGACGGCCAATCGAGTGGAATCCTTGGACCAGCTGAGGACCCTAAGGGTTTGCGGGTGGATTGCTGGATGCCAAGCCAAATCCTAAACTTCCTAAACCCTGCAAATCACAACCCAGGGACCCTTTAGGGTCTTGTATGTGCGTTTCAGCTTTTTTCAGGTGCGTTTCAGGTGCGTTTCAGCCTTTTTCCAAGGTTTTTGCTAGGTTTTTTAGACACCCTGGATATGCAGGACTGCCAGGGGCTATCGCAAGGCCTCACATGGCTGCCAGGAGGCCGTTCTGCAAGCTGGTTCGGAGGCAGGTCCCTCGATAGCAGCGGCTCTTCAGGCCCAGTCGCACTTCGCCTCTTCGGCGACCGGGGAGCAGCAGGGCAAGCGAAACAAGGACCGACCCGGGAAGTTCTTGGAGGCGGAACGTCTCTCGTACGTGGCCGCAGGTCGGCAGACGTTTGCGGCAACTCGGGTCCTCAGCGTCGTCGCCGATGCCGTTCACGTGGGCCAGGAGGACTGGTTGAACGTCTTTCTGTGCGACACCGAGCAGGACTTGTCCTTCGTGTGCCCCCAGCAGGCCGCCAAGGGAGGGCTTGCTATAGAGGGATTTCTGTCCGCGGGTTAGGTCCAGTTTCGGTGCCGCAAAACCATACACTAAACGCTCCCTAGAGTCGACCATACATTTTAGGGTCCCTAAGCAAACCTGCAGTTATCGGCCCCTGCCAAAACCATACACCTAACGTTCCCTATTTCGCTTTTTGCCAGCCGGCGGATTTTCCCGGGCACCCGCCCTTGCCTTCTAGCATGATCACTGCCTTCCAGGCAAAACCATACACCTATCGCTCCCTAGCAAAACCATACACCTATCGTTCCCTAAGGGCCGCCCTCGCAAAACCATACCCGTATCGTTCCCTAGGTTTCGTGGTCCAAAACCATACCGTTTTGGACCAAAATTGGAGCCATTTTTGGCTTCGCAGGGAGGCTGCAGGAAGCCCTTTTGTCGAGCTTGTTGCTGCGTCTGCTTTTGCGTGACGGACGTGTTCGTTTTCGTGTTTCTCGTGCGTCAAAGAGCAGTAGAGCACCCGAGGTCACAAACTCTGAAGCAAACCGCAGGTTTTCAGTTCGCTGTGTCAGGTTGGCTACTATATAGCCTTGCAAATGCAGTTGGTGAGGGCTGTGGGGGCGGGTTTAGGCTGTCGGACCGGAACCATTTCTACACGGCAGCAGGCAAGGCTTCAACGTGGTGATCTGGTTTAAGATAGAAGTAGGACGAGTTAAGGGCTGTGTCTGTAGGTTTTTTTTAAGGTGTTTCGTTTCTTCGAAGTACAAGATGGCAAGTTTTCTGCTTTCCGCAGGTCAAGAAGGGGACGGCCATCACCTCGGAGGCCTGGACAGACATGTGGCAAGGCCGCTTGACGAGCTTTTTCCAGAAAGTTGGCACGAAGGGTCGCTCGGCGGACAAGGCCACCGGTGGGGTCAGGCAGCCTGAACGGCAGGCCACTCAGGAGTGGCTTCGCGACCTCTCGCACAGCCTCGCGGTCGTTGGGTGGTCCTGGTCGTGCTGCCGGAGGACGACCGACGAGGCCAGGCCCTTCGTCTTGGTCCTTTGCACGGACCAAGAGGCCACTCAGCTGGCAGCCGCCAACTACCTGTCGTTCGGCCGGCAGTTGTTCGTGCAGCACGTGCCCGACCCGGCCCACCGCTCGCACAACGACGTTCACCTGGCCATGGCAGCGGCCGGGCTCTTGACGTTCAGCATCGTGTCCATCGGGCTGTACAACGTTCGCTATGGCCCCTGGAATAAGGGGACGTGGTTCGGCAAGGTCCAGACCATGGCCGACGAGATGAGCCGCTCGATGTCGCCGTCGGACCCGCTGCTCCTCGCCTTCTTCCCGGAGATTCTCGCCGACCAGGGCCGTTCGCAGGACGAGAACACGGAGGAGTCGCGACGTGCGTTTCTCGAGTCGCTGCCGAACAGGTCGTTCGTCAGGAGCAAAGGCAGCAAGGCCTCTCAGTCCAGGTTCAACAGCCTCAGCACGGCCCATGCCGAGCTCGACAGGGACTGGTCGGCGTTCTGCCTCGTCCTCGTGGTCATTTGCGTGGCGGAAGGCTGGGCCAAGTCTGCGGCCGACCTTTGGACTCCCCAGAGTGAGGTCGCCGAGAGTGCGGGCTCGTCCAGGGCTGCTGCCAAGTCCGCCGCTCGAAAGGCCTTGCAGAAGCAGCGAGGCCGTTCGGTGAACACTCTGCATGGCATGACGATGTTCGCTTGCAACCCGGACAACAAGTCGCTCGCCCGGACAGTGTTTTTCGTCCTTGGGCCAGAGGGCATTCGCTGCTCCAAGATGCTCGAGGACTTGCGATCGGCGGAAGCGACAGTCAAGCAGTACTCCGAGTGGGCACACTGGGAGTACATGACGGTCGCTCACGAACACGTGGCCAAGCTGTCCAATCTCGCCGCTCTGCAGCGGATTGGATTGGACATGTCCATGCTGCTGCCGGAGGAGGAAGCTCGAGAGGCGGCCGTCACCTGGCAGGATGCTGTGGCTCGCAGGGTCGTTCGTCTCACACAGCGGCTTCTTCGGTACCGGTGCGGCAGCCAGCTGCCTTCCACGAACGGTTGGGGGTCCACGGCTGGCCTTCTGCACCAGTCGACGGAGGCACGGCGTGCGAGCCTGAGCTTCCTCGCAGACGTGGACAAGACGGTGCAGGCTGTTCAAAAGGAAGGGTCCCTCGAGGCCAAGCAGCTGCTCGAAGGCCACCCGGCCACGGGGCCAGTCATGGCTTTGGTGCTGTCCGAGCTGCGAGCAGGGTCTTTCGTTGAGGTTGCTGCGGACACCTTGGCCTTTTTGCGTCGTTTGTGGTCCGGCCTCTTGAACAGCAAATTGGTCGAAGATGCAAACAAAGTGCAGCGTGAAGCAGAGCAGAGGAACGGGACGTCCAAGACCATCGGCCGCTTGGAAGGGTGGCATGGGCTTACGAGGAAAAAGTTGCTCGAGGGCTACAAGAGGCCAGAGGTTGGCTGCGGTGCCATGTCTGTCGTTCCCACGAAGTTCGAAGCGGACCAATGGTTCCAACGGCCCAAGCGACTCCGTATGGCCGACAGTTTGGCCTCGGCGTCTACTGCTTCGACTGTCGAGGAGGTCAGCGACCAGTCTCTGGAAGAGGACGTTCTCAAGGGCGTCAGCCTCGCGAAGACCTGGGCCTCGCACACACCCGAGTCGGAGCAAGACAGGCTTGCCAGCTTCTCGCTCTTGACCAAGGTTGTCAAAGAGGGCAAGGATTGGACGTTCGTGGAGCAAGGCTGGTGGGCGTCCTTCGCACCCGAAGGCCACGGACTGCTGTTTCCAGGGCTGCCGCCGTGCTACGTCGTTCGCAGCTACAAGCGTGCAGCTCTCGTTTGGCCGGCCAAGCTGGAGAAGGTGGCCGAAAGCGAGGAGATGCTGGTGCTGGACCCGGAGGCCCCTTCGCTGTGCTGGCTGCACTTGTACAACGACGAAGTGGTGGTTCTGGACCTCGTTGCGACCTCCCCGCAGCGTGGCCTGTCGCACTTTTTTTTGAGGACATCCCAATTCACGAAAGCTTTTATTGGTGAGGTTAGTTTAGGCCACCAAGAAGTCTCCATGTGCCCGATTGCATACAGGTAGATTCTTAATTCCCTATATCTGATATAGGGCCAATTAAACTTCCACTCACAGACCCTTTACAGTCCTGTAGGTGCGTTTCAGCTTTTTTGAGGTGCGTTTCAGGTGCGTTTCAGCTTTTTCCTAGGGTTTTTGCAGCATTCAGAACAATAAGAGGCAAGTTCGACGCTTCTGGACGTTAAGGGCTACTTTGTTAGGGAAACGAACCCTTTACAGTCCTGTATGTGCGTTTCAGCTTTTTTGAGGTGCGTTCCAGGTGCGTTTCAGCTTTTTCCTAGGGCATTAGCTACGTTTTCATGCTTTTAGGGTTTTGGTTTAAAAATAAAGCCTTTCAATCAAGAAACATACAACCAGGTCTGCGGCTGCTCGGTGAGACTCGGCCTCTCGGAGTGGCCCTTCGTGTGCAAGCCAAAAGGCCGCTGCTCCGCCACCACGAGGTCTACGGCTTCGCAGGCGTGGCCGAGTGGGGCCTGCGACGTCTGGTCCAGAGCAAGGGCTGGTCGCTCGAGGCCTCGGAGGAAGCCGGCCACGAGGAGGACGACCGATTGGCTGTTGCCTGCTTGCTCTCCTTGGAGGCCACTCTGACCAAGGACGAAGTCGTCGCCCGAATCCTGTTTCGGCAGGAAGCGGCGACGTGGGCAAGCGAGTGTGGCGAGCTGGACCTCGCGGAGGTCGTTCGGGACACGATGCTGTCGGCGGACCAGGAGGTGGCCTTGCAGCAGATCGCCAAGCGAAAGGCCACTCACCAGACAGCTGTTCAGGTTCGCCAGCGAGTGTCCAAAACTTTCGACTACGTGGCGAAGAAGTTCGCCAGCAGGCCTGAATTCAAGAAGGCTGCGGCAGCTCGAAAGGCCAAGGAGAAGAAGGCCGAGCAGCACAAGAAGGAGCAGGCCGCCGAGATCAAACGTTGCTATGCCCTCGTGAGCTCGGACGTGGACAAAGCTGTCAAGGCCGCCGTGCCTGCCGCCGTTCGGGTCTACACGGACCCTCCCAATGGGCGGTGGAAGCTCAGCTACAGCACGGCGTGGGCGTATGCGACCCGGTCCATTTCGTGGACAGCCATCGGCAGCAAAGCTGGCGGGGCAGAAGTCCTTCGGCAAGCTTGGTCTTGGGCCGAGACCTTCGACGGCCTCGACATCACGGACGAAGCGGCCGCGATGTTGCAGAAGCTCGGAGCCTAGCCTAGTGCAGACCGAGTCGTTCCGAGCCCTGGGTCGCTCGGACATTTTTAGGGTCTCTCGGAAAACAGAGACCTGAGGCCGTGGCTGAAGCAGCCGGGCCGATGCAAGCTTCAGCCGTGAGGGACGAAGAATAAAGAGGGAATTCTCCATGTTGCCTCTGCACCTGCCTGCATTCGCCTCCTCTAGCAGTGTAAGTTTAATTAATTGCCCATTGCTTTCCACCCAGGCCAGATCGAGCACGACTTCCAGCTGCTGGAGCTCCGCACACACGAAGCACGAGGCGGGCCCTTGCCACACTCTTGCGTTGCCTTTGCAGTCAGCCTGTGTCAAAGTGGCCCTGCGGCTAATTTGAGAAGAGCTGTCTGTTTGCAGCAGAGCCCGTGCTCCCAGACTACAGAGCTTTGAGGACTTGCACGTCTCGTAGTTCTGTTTCTCAAGCGTTTTTTTGCCTTGGTAGCGATGGGTCGAGCGACTTTGGCCGAAACCGGCGGCGTGAGGCCTGCCAGCGCCTATGCTCTCTTTTGCAGCTGGGTCGCTCGCGAGGGGCTCTCGTCCGATCGGGCGGCCAGGTTTCGCATCCGTGGAAAGCGTATGGTGCGGAATGGGCCGGCCATCCAGAAAAAGTGGACACTCGGGCTTTTGTTTAGCATTCACTTTATTAGCAGTGTCAGACAATGGTGCGTTTCAGCTTTTCTGAGGTGCGTTTCAGGTGCGTTTCAGCTTTTTCCCAGGGTTTTTGAAGCGTTCAGAGCAAGAAGGGCCAAGTTGGACACTTCTGGACGTTAAGGGCTGCTTTGTTAGGGAAACGAACCCTTTACAGTCCTGTATGTGCGTTTCAGCTTTTTCGAGGTGCGTTTCAGGTGCGTTTCAGCTTTTTTCTAGGGTTTTCCATAGGTTTTTATTAAAGGTGTGGCTTTGCAAGCTCTCAAGGGACTGTTCTTGGGTTGGCGTTTTTTCCTGCAGGCTGTACAGGTCGTTCTCAGGTTTGTCTCTTGTCAGACAAAGCCCCAGCATAGCCCTTGGACAGACCCTAAGAACTGGTCCACAGCAGCCGCATAAAATTGGGCAGTTTGAAGTCCTGGAACTTGGTTGCCTCGGACCTACGGCAAAACCTCAGAAGCAGCAATACAGGTAGAGATTACGGGGTTAAGAACAAACAGGTTGTCAAGGAGTTTCGCCCGGCCCATCCCTGCCCCTAACTCAAAGTTTATCTTCAAGAACAGCCCCAAGCCCAAGCTCCGCTGCACTCAGGCGCCACAAGAAAAGCAAGGACCTTCGGGACCACTTCACGGCCCAAGCAAAAAAGGCCTACGAGGACAACCGTGCCAAGGCAGAGGCCTTCAGGACGGCCCAAAGCCGGGAACTTTTGCCAAGCGAACCTCTTGCAGACGAGGAGGCCGTGGCTGTCGAACTCGAGGCCGACCGTGCGAGGACGGAGCTGTTCAACGACTCCTGGACCTGGACACTCGGAGTGGCCGTTCGCGACCTGACAGAGGTGAGCAGTGGGGTCAGCGGCCGGGTCTTCGTCGGGTCCTTCGCAGGCCAGCCGGTGGCCCTCAAGGTGGCCTTGGGTCGGGGATTGCGAGATCCCATGCAGAGGGCGGCCGCTGGTGGGCTGGACGTGGCAGAGGAGTTCGCCATCTTGGGGGCACTCGGACAGCACCCCAACGTGGTTCGGGCCTTCGGCGTTCTGACGAGCTCTCTCGGAAAAACCGCTTTGCTCCTCGAGAGGGCGACCGAGAGCCTGCACGACACGGCCTGCCGGCTCCAGGCCGACCGACTGGAAACTTCGCCGGCCGGGAAGGGCTCTCTGCTGCAGCTCTTCCAGCAGTTCCTCCTTGGCCTGTCGTTCGTGCACGGCCGTTCGATTCTGCACTTGGATGTCAAGCCCAGGAACATCCTGGTCTTCGACGGCGTTCGTGCAGCACTGGCGGACTTCGGGCATTCGGAGTCTGCTTCGGACGGTTGCTGCTCGGTCGTCGGCGATCGCGTCTACACCGAGGCCTTTCGATGCTCGGAGTGCCTGATGGCAGGCGATCGGAAGGCCTGCCTCTTGCATTTGCCTCCCAAGTAGCCTTACCATGGCACGTTGCAGACTTAAGCTGAAATCTACTTTGGTGTTCCCTCCCAAACCAGCTTCCCTTATTTTTTCCCGCTAATTTTTGGGTTTAGGCAATACAACCCCACCAAGACTCCTTGACACTGAAACGTCCCCTGCCAGGTCAGAGTGACGTTCGCCGGCGACGTCTGGGCAGCCGCCGTCTCGTTGTTCGAGATCTGCTCACCTGCAAAAGCCTCGCTGTGGACGGTCTCTCCCAAGACGTTCGTGCGGGAGACGGAGGAGCAGACAGCTCAGGCCATTCGAGAGATGGCCATCGCAAAGAGTGCCAAGGTGATGCCGTTCAATCAGAACATGGTGGACGTTCTGGAGAAGGTCTTCGTACCGGCCAGCCGAAGACTGTCGTTGTCGGGCATGCTTCAGAGCATCCAAAGAGACCGACGAGCACTGGGCCAGGCCCGATCGTTTTGAACGGCCTGCCTGTTTGGTCCCTGAGAAGCAGGGTCGTTCGATGCAAGCCGTTCGAAGCCCTTCGCAAGGAGCTCAAAAGAGCTCCCGTTTTCATTGCTTCCCGAGTCAAAAGAGAGCTTCGCTTTGAGCTTTGACCTAAGTAGTCAAGCACAGCTTCGAGTCTAAAGCTTGTCCTAGGCCTCGAAGCCTTTTCCTGCTGCCAGGTGCTCGAGCGACCTGCTCTTCTTCGCCGAGAAGTTCGCAGCTGCAACTCCTAATCCTAAAGCCCTCAATTTTCAACCCTAAGGAATTCACTGAATTCCTTCTTGGGCATCAAAAGTTTGCGACACTCGCCGTTCGACTTGGGTATCTATGGCTGAAGGCCCAGGTTTTAAGGATAAAGTTTTAGAGATTTCAGGCCGGGGGATAAAGTTTCAAGTCTTCAGGTATATCAAAGGCCTTTCGAGATCCAGGACTCAAGCTTTATTTGGGGTTTCGGTGCCGGTGTAGATTTCCACGTTGTACCAAGGAGCCACTGGGTCTTCTGCAAATTACTCACATAAAACAAACAGGTTTTGCAGTCCTACAATAGGCCAGAGATGGTCTGCCACACATACGTTTCAACACCTGCGGCCCTGCACAGACGAGAAGTGACAGTTGTAGCATAACTTTACGTATCTCCAACACCAAGACACTTAAAACAAAGCATCGCCCGCTTATTCACGTACCGAAATAGGCCGTGGCTTTAAAACAACTCTGTTTACAGAGAGTTTCACACCGGGGTTGCACAAAACTGTTTAAATTTCGATACCACAAAGGCTTCAATTCGACAGCCCAAAAGCATTACAACCGATAACCCAACATGACGACGTTTTTTACTGCAGTTTTGAGCCGTGCCCATCCCGGCACCGACTATGCCAAAACCTGACGCTTATCCTTCCCTACTTTTGGCGCTCCCTATTAGCCCGCCCAATTAGGGCTGGCAACTTTGAGCAAGAGAGTCGAAGCCTCAGGCTTCGAGCTGGTCATACGGTTGATGATATAAACCCTGCATTACCCATAATATGGAATATACCATAATTCCCATAGTTTAGGGACCTTGAGGTCATGCAGGATTTATATCATCAAAAGTAGAACAAAGCATCCAGACTTAGCCGTAGCCCTGTCAGCGGCAAGGGGAGGCATCATCATCGTAGCACTCGGAGTAAACAATGATCCTGGGCTGGCAGCCTGTGCAGCACTTGTAAGACGATAAATCCTGGAAACGAGAGAAGCTTTAGCAATGCTAGCATAATTCCTTCAAGGACGAAAGTCAGGTGAGACAGAGCATGGGTGAGACATAGCATGTTTCGCTCGCAGTACTTGAAGTTTCTCGAGGCTTAGCACGTTGAAAGTGGCGTTCTAATTGGAAGAGCTACGTTGAAGATACTTACCGTGTTTAACAGGCTTGCTAGAGGTAATTTCTTGCGCTTGCAAGTAGGGGATTTTGCATTCGCTTTTTAGGGTCAGAAAAGAAAAACAAGAACCATAGCAATGAGAACGATGGTAAGCAGAAGACATACAGCAGCAAACAGTAGCCACAAATCAAACCCAGGCAGAAGTAGCTGAAACCTAGGAATAGGATACACAAAAGCGAGGATTACGAGCAAACAGGAAAAGCAAGTACCTGTTCGAAGAGCTGTGAGAAATTTACGTGTCTTTATGGTTCCTTGCCTATCTAAGTTTTGGGTTTTGACATGTGATTTAGATCTGTGACAAGGTATGGAGATAACTGTAAGCCCGAAATCCGGGCGATCTAGGGGAATGGGAGCTTCTGGGTACATTGTGTTAGAGCCCGGAATAACGGGGCCGTAAGTCCTTACTATGAGGACTCCTCAAACGGAGCCACTACTATAGGGGCCTTAATAATACCTATGCTATTTTGGGTGGTTCATTGTTATAGTTATATAGTATAATATACCCCAGAAACCTACTGTAAGTGTGAACGCCCGTTTCATAGTACCTTTATAGTACCCGAATGTTATCCTTGCAGTAACCTTTATAGACCTCGTTAAAGGGAACCTTACTCTAATTACTGTTGATGGACAAAATCCTGCATTACCCACTATGAGGAATATACCATAGTTCCCATAGTTTAGAGTCCGTAGGGTCATGCAGGGTTTTGTCCATCAACAGTATCAAGGCCTCTATATTCATTGCAAGAACTCCCTCAATCCAAAGCCCGCGAGAGGCCTCGGGATGTGCATCACAAAGGAGCTGATAGCACAGGGGGTGCGCTCCTCAGAGTATCCGGTTTAGGGTTTAAGTTTTAGGGTTTAGGGCTTTAGGGTTTTAGGTTTTAGGGTGTCGGGGCACGCAAAAGTCAGTGCAAAAAGCCGGAGATCCAGCCGCAAATGGAGGATGTTCATAATTCCTTGTCCTTGTTGTGGCAAACTCCTACTATTATGGGTGTTATAGTGGTATGAAAATTTGATGGTTACATCCCCTATGTTAGCTTTTGTAATCTCAGCACAAGCTATCCCAAAAGTCTAAATAGTGTAACTGTGAAGGCCGCTACATTACTCCGGAGGGAACACGGTTTTCGGACCGAGGGTACCGGGTAATACTTGTGCCCGACTATTCAGCCCATGGTTTTTGGTCCACTGAAACACAAGTCCATACAAGTAGGGGCTTGAGGGGCTTGCATAGTTGGACATGGTATTCCGGCTAGGGTTCTGATTGTAGTTATTGTAGTTGTCGTATAGCATAACCCAGCAGACATTCTCATAGCTGAAGATCCCAGTATTACTCTTTGGGCATACGCAGCAGAAGAAAGGTAGGGTCGTCTGCCGTCTCTATCTTCTTGGGTGCTTTGGTTTTGCCGGGTGGCACTTCATCCTGCATCTCCGCCCTCAAATCAGCTGGTCGTTAATCAGAGCTTTACATGCACTGGTTGGTGCTAGTGTACATGCAATGACCGTGGTGTGGATGCATTAGGCGCTCAAGGCTCCCGGGTTTCTCGTTTTGGTCCAATCCGTGAGTGTCTCAGTGTTTGTGGCCACTGCTAGATGTGCTGCCAGCCAAGCAGCAGCTACAAACACAAACATAAGGAGACGCAGACCATGAGCACCATCGACATCAAGAGAAGGAGACCAACACAATCCAGGGGAAGGGAGCCCTGTTCTAGAACCCCATAGCCCCTTAGTACCCTTAAAGGGAGCCTTGTTCTAGGACCCCATTTTACCCTCAAACGGAGCACTGTTCTAGGTCCCACAGTGCCCTTACAGGGAGCCCCCCCAAACCCTAAACCCTAAAACCCTAAACCCTAAACCCAAAAAAGAAAACCCCCTAAACCCTAAAACCCTAAACCCTAAAACCCTAAACCCCTAAACCCTAACCCCGGGAGCCTGAGGCCGAGACGATCGGAACTTGCCGTGGCTCGAGCAAAGATCTGGAAGCTGCCGGCTGTGCCAAGGCAACGCCCCTAGGTCTACAAGGGATCTCTAGTTCTATGGTTCAGGGTCCTGGCAGTCCTTGGGGTTCCTTTAAAGGGTTCTTATAAAGGGTCTGCAAGGGTTACTCTAAGGGCTACTATGCGGCCTAGATAATTACCTATACTAGTTTGCGGGTTCCTTATCATAATTATAGTATAACGGGCCCCAAATAATTGGAATAGGGTTTTGGGGTATATTAAACCATAACCATATTAAGAAACCACCAAAATAGTATAGGTAATTATTAAGGCCCCTATATTACCTTAACCCACCAGAACCTACTTTTTTGTAGGGTCCTTATGAACCCCATATCAGGGTTTATGATAAGAACCTACAAAAAAGTAGGGTTTAGTGGGTCTAGGTAGGATTTAGGGTTTAGGGTTATTGATATTATGAGTATCACTACTATTACGATGAGAACTGCTGATAGCGAACCCCAGAAAGTTGGAACATGGATTTAGGATGATTGGTGCTTGGATACCCTATACTTTACCCAGAAGGCATGAGGATACTCATGTTCCAACTTTCTGGCTTCTACCGTATCAACATTATTCTTAGTGTTGCGAATATTCATTAGAAGCCGCCCCCCCGCCCGTGTGCGGCTTAAATGGGGTATTATCGCCAGCTGAAACTGTGGGTTTTCACGCCTATAGTATTTAATATAGACAGGCAGATGGCGATTATATCCTGGGTCTGTTCGGTGGATGGTCCCGGGCCCGAATTAAATAATTTAAATAATTTAAATAATTTAAATAATTTAAATAATTTAAATAATTTAAATCCTGGGGAGGGGGTCTGGGGGGGTTTCCGGGGCCCCGGGACCCTCCCCCAGGATTTAAATTATTTAAATTATTTAAATTATCTAAATTATGTAATTGGGGCCGGGAATTAAATAATTTAAATAATTTAAATAATTTAAATAATTTAAATCCTGGGGAGGGGGTCTGGGGGGGGTTCCGGGGCCCCGGGACCCTCCCCCAGGATTTAAATTATTTAAATTATTGAAATTATTTAATTGGGGCCGGGAATTAAATAATTTAAATAATTTAAATCCGGGGGCCTCCCCCATATTTAAATTATTTAACTTATTTAATTGGGCCCGGGATTTAAATAATTTAAATAATTTAAATAATTTAAATCCTGGGGAGGGGGTCTGGGGGGGGGTTCCGGGGCCCCGGGACCCTCCCCCAGGATTTAAATTATTTAAATTATTTAGATTATTTAAATTATTTAATTGGGGCCGGGAATTAAATACTTTAAATAATTTAAATATGGGGGAGGCCCCCGGATTTAAATTATTTAAATTATTTAATTCCCGGCCCCAATTAAATAATTTAAATAATTTAAATAATTTAAATCCTGGGGAGGGGGTCTGGGGGGGGTTCCGGGGCCCCGGGACCCTCCCCCAGGATTTAAATTATTTAAATTATGTAAACTATTTAAATTATTTAAATTAGTTAATTGGGGCCGGGAATTAAATAATTTAAATAATTTAAATAATTTAAATCCTGGGGAGGGGGTCTGGGGGGGGTTCCGGGGCCCCGGGAC